TATAGCTGTTTTTGTTTATCTACCAGCTTAACTCATATTTGTTTTATTATATTTATCTTTGTTGATTTCACCATTTGTCTGGTTGTCTCTCAATCGACCTCTTATCGCAACTTCTTCTCCTCTCGCTGTACTGTGCATAAATGTATGCTCCCACTAATACTCCACCAGCAACGCTTACTTAAGTATTCAACGCACATATGTACATTACGACGTGTCACAAAACGGAAGGAAATCAATTGTGTGCGAACTCGTTTTGAAGTTCTGCTATGTCAGACAGACAGATGGGCGAAATTGCTAGCCTGCGTCTATCGGTGCGCGCGGTAATCACACTTTGGGCGATGAAAAATGGTTGAATTGTAATCGTGCTGTGCTGTTACCCACATCCTCCGCCTATTTCAGTGAAGCGTATAAATAATAAGCATCGTAGTATTGAAAATATCAGTAGAAAGATATCATTTAGTAGGAGCATGACGGTGTTGTTGGTGCTGGGTGTTTTTGATGGTAGCATTGCATAGTGTTTTTGTTGTTGTTGTTGTTGTTATTTGCAATCACTATTGAAGCTTAATTGTGTGCTTTCACCGTTTTGTTTGCTTGCTGGTTTATCGATACATCTGTGCGTCGTTGTGTCGCTTTGTTTGCTCTAAGTACACTGCTGCTCTTCTTGTTGTTGTTGTTGCTGTCTTTATTTGCGCGTAATGTTGCAGGCGTTTTTAATGATTGCTTTGGGAATTATTTGCGGTTTTCATCTTAAATTGTCCCTTTCTTAAATTAAATCACTTTCTTTGCTTTTTGTACTTATTTACTTCGATTGTGTATAATTATACAATACAAGTAAGCCTATTTGTTATGTATGGTATTTAATGTATACATACATACATCGAGATAATTTCATTTAAGATTAATGCTTAGTTTAATTGAGTTTTGTTGTACGATGAAATGCTTTGTGGTTTTGCGGAGAATAAATTAATTTAATTTCACAGATTATTACAGAAATACTGTTGTAGTTTCTAAAAAAGAAAAATATATATACATAATTTGAAATACACAAGACCTGCCAAGAGCTTTCAGGAGTATGAAAAATACTGAATTCTGCCGCTACAACAACAACAGCAAAAGGAGTAGTTATTACAAAAAAAAAAACAAAGTTACTTTAATAATTATTTCTAATTGAACTCGTATTATGAGCAGAATTGCGAATTTTTTAATTAAAAAATTTAGGAGTAAAAAATTAAAATATGTATATAATTTATATAATTTAACTGTATATAATTTAAATTTAAAATAAAATTTTCAATTTTTAATTCAGCATGTTTGGGATTGAAAATTGAAAATATAATTTTTTGATTTGGATGAACGCGAAAAAATGTTAATTCTAAACCAGATATTTTTTCTAATTCTTAATTATCTGCTTGAGATTAAATTTTTTAATTTTTATTTTTCAATCCGGTAGTTGGGATTAAAAATTAAAAATAAATTTTTAATTCGGTTTTCGGAATAAAAATTTTGTTTTATTTTTTAAACCGGTATGTGGGATTAAACATTTTTTCTAGTTTTTAATCCCGTAGTTGGGATTACAAAACAAAAAAATGTATTCATATGTTAATACAATTATTTTTTTAATGCATTATTCGCAACCCTGATTATAAGTATATCTTAAATACTCAAAGCATAAATATATTATTATTATTTGTTTTTTTTGTTTTATTATTTTAAATATCAGGCCAAATGTCATTTGAATACATGGATTTAAAAACTTTTTCTAACTTTTAAGTGTGAAATTAGATAAATAAATTTTTTTTGTTAATATTGCGGTTTCAATTTATATTTAAACGAGTTTTTCGCAAAACTACATTACTCAGATTTGCTTGAGCGGTTATTCGGAGAAAAATGATGAAAAATGGTATCAAGTTTTTTCTGCGTGTTCTGTATCGGTATTGTTCGCCATAAAATGTTCAATGAGTTTTTTGATTTGTTAATATATCAAACTTTGACAGGTCAAAAACGACCAAAGTTAAGGGTAAAATTCAACTTTTTTAAACGCCACTATGTATGGAAAATATCTTTTAGTAGAGAGTTTTTTTTTAGATTTGGAGCAGGCCGAAATCACTGCAGCAGTGGAGGACCTTTTGGTTCAGCGTCGTCGGATATCGCATGTAATATTTAATTTTTTTGTTCTAAAATTGTACTTTGTATTCCTTAAATTTATATATATATATATATATGTATATACGCTTAGAATTTTAAAATAAAACTTTTTTTTATCCCTAAAAATTCTCGTTTTTTAGGCTGTCAGACTTGGTTTGGCTCTTAAACTGTTATTCAAGGCACCAATACAATTATAATATATCACTATAAATAAATATATACGGTTTATACAGTATTTTTTCGTTAAGAATATTATTTAAAAATTCGAAGAAAAAACTTAAATAAATCAGAAAATTTCGAAAACATTATGAATAAGCAAATTAAATTTTTCTGTAAATTCTCATTAAACAATATATTATTGCTCAATATTGCTACAATTGCATGCTATATATTATGTTACCAAAATAATTAGTCAAAATATTGACAGCTCCATAATACACGCGAGAGCACTTACAGCAATAACAACAAGGATCACAATTATACTAACTGATTTATGTAGCTATCTATCTATAAATCACTTAAACTTAAGTACGCGCAGTTAACTGCACTTTGTGCGCCTTAAGTCCAGGTTTATCCAACTTTAATTATATACATCTATATATGTGTATTTGTATCACAATTAAGTCAGAGCTTATGCAAAAGTTTAAGTGGTATCTTCAACTTTGCACTTTTGCCTGAGAGTGTACTTGAAACTAATACACACACAAGTGGCTTTATGTATATACTCATACATAAATGTGTGGGCTCATTATTTGTTTTCAATGTAATTCAATCTAACTGACAAACATCGCATAATTGACCCTTAAGTTCAACAATGGACCAAGTTAAGCAATTATAAGTCAACTAATGTCGGCAATTGTGAAGACTAATTGTGGGTGATTTCATTGACTACTACTACTGCTGTCTACTAATAAAGTTTCACATTAGGATTGAGCACAAAACAACTGCCAAAGTGATGACTACAGGCAGAGCTAGCATAATAATAATACAAAGTGCACTGAAAGAAAATTTTGTTGAAAATTTTTTGTTATGTTATTAATATAGCTGTGAATCGGCAGGCACGCATCACATGCATATTTAAAGCTTAAGAATACATTTAACTTATGTCAAAACCTTGATTTTAAAGTTTTGTGTTTAAGATTGCTTATTTGGGTGCTAGGAAAAGAAGCGTGTAATTTAATGCACGTTCGCATTTGACAGTAAAATGTGGAAGGAAGAAGAAATGCCTTGAAAAAAGTTTTATCGCTATAAAAATCAAGACGCGGTGTTTATGACGAGTTAGGAGAAATTTATTTATCTTGTAAACTCCGTGTTTAATGCAAAACCCCAAAACGGTCAATAAGAAATTTTAGAGGAATTTAAGCTTATATAAGTTTAAGTACCTCTAGTGGTAAAATATGAATTGTGACTTTAATATGTTAATACAAAGCATAATAGCAAAGATTTTTTATGATTGAACAAAATAGTAGAAATTTTAATGACATCATTGTAAATATTCATCGAACACAAACACTTTACAGTTGATTTAACGCCAACCAACGTTTTTATCCACGAAATTGCTGCTGCTGACTAATATGCATACCTACTATTTACCATACATTCATATATACGCTTTACTCACACGTTCGATGAATCATCTGGTCAATTTCACAGACATTTTTCGTTTCTTACAGTGTAAATAAAATAATTATTACAGCAAAACAAATTGTATTAATGCGTGCTCATATCAAAGGCCATACGGTGGGCACAGCAGCTGCTAGCTTGTGCATCGACTAGCTTGTGCGCCAAGGCACCTCACTAAAAGCTTGAGCTACATTTCAGCAAGCTGGATAGTTGCTAGTAAGTGACTCAAAATGAGTATTGGAACAGATGAACGCATGAATTGATGTGATGCGCATTGAGGAAAGCTTACAATGAGCTTACTATAAATATATATGAGTGTAAGAATATACATACAAGTCCATCGAAAGACTTCGAGCTGAAATAATTTTACGTTTTGGGCAGAGTTTAGCAAATATGACGAAATTTATTGCTCCGGTTGTGACTGTATGTAGAGCGATAACTAATGCGATGATAAGATATGAAATGGGTATTGCGGTTTGTTGGCAAATGGTTTGTGTGATAACAGCAAGATAATAAGAATGGGGAAATATTAAATAGTGAAACAAAGAAATGCGGTGGGTATTGAATGAGGATAATAAAGTAAACAGTAAAGTTGCGGTAGAACGATTATTAAGAAAAACATATAAGAGGGTGAAAAGGCTGGAGAAAATACGAATAACTGGGTATTAGTTACAAAACAAAAAAAAAATTGTTGATGTAGTGCTTATTTGTTAGAAAAATTAAAAGAAAATATGTTAGGGTGACTGTGCAACAGTACAAAAAATATTCACTGACAAAAGGCTAATTAACCTAATAACCTCAGCACAGGGCGTTAAATTATAAGAAAAACACACACACACACCGACTGCAATTATAGCATTCTAGTAGTGATGTAATAAAGTGTGTCAAAAGAAGGTTGAAATTATGCCAACAACAATAAAAGCGTAAAAAGTGTGACGTCGTAAAGCGTAAAATTTGAGCACAATTTAGCACTTAACACTAACTGTAAGTGTCATATTACAAACGTTTAAATTACATGGCTTTCAAATTACGTAATTTTGCAACAAAAAAAAATATAATATAAAATATATGCTGATGCATATATACAAAACTTTGCATTTGTGCCAGAAGCTATTGTATGTTAAGCGGTGTTGGTTACACTAAATTTAGCAACGTTTTGACGCTAAAAAAAAATATGGTGCACAACCATACGTATGATTGGGTATGTGTGCAGTCTCTATTGATGGATTTACCTTCATCGCCACCGCGTTCAGTATAGCGGTCCAAAGAGTGATCTGAACGATAGGTGCTGCGTCGACGATTGTGTATTGCTGTGCCACCATTATATGGATTGTTGTTGTAGGCATGTGTTAATATACCGTCATCTTCGAAATTTGTTTCGAGCAGGATATCTTCGCGAGGATCACGTATACGATCGCGTTGGTTTAGAGATTTTGTCGGTGAAGACATGACGCATAAATTTATATGTAGTTATTACTTAGATTTAAAGTAATGACAAGAAATCGGCGTAACTCTTTGGTATGCTTGTACGTATGCTAAACTTAGTCGTTGAAATAATACTTCTGTGTTGATTATTTCGGAAATTATGTATATAAAAATTTCCGTCGTTAGTTAAATATATTTCGTTTTGTTACTTTTTCTTTAATTTTGTGACTCAAAATATTGCTAAAATGAGAGGAAAAATATGAATATATGTTAATCAAACGATATTATTCGAATACAGTGTGGACCAGTGCACATTTTTTCAAAGTATTGTGCAATATTTGCTTGTTCTTAAAAGAAATTTTTATTTTGTGCTACTAAGTAATTAAATAGACCAGTAAAAATTTGGCGTTTTTATCGAAAAAGCCTTTCTAAATTTGTTGCAGTGATTACTCGGAGACAAATGATTCGAAAACCGTCTTTTCGTTAATTTTTGATTTTTTGTTCGACCGTAGGTCATTATGCGGACAATTTCTGCTAGTAGAGTATTTGTTTTTTTAGGTTTCAACCACGGAGAAGTTCGAAACCACTGGTGTATAATTTTTTTTGTAGTACCGTTGAAAATCGCGAGAAACATGAAAATTTTTAAATATTTGCATCAAAAATTTAACTGTGTATTTTTAAAATATGCATAAATATACCCTTAAAATTTGAGCACAATTGATGCAGTTATTTTTTTTTTAATTTGAAAAATCCCCTTATTTTTACACTGTCACACTAGGTGTGCCTCTTAAATTTGTTTATATGATTTTTTTAATTTTGCAAGCAATTTTACACTTATGGCAATATTTTTCACACATATTTCCATTTCCCATACAAATTCTGATCTCTCTTTTTTACATGGAATCGCGTTTATTTTTATGAATCATCCACGCTTTATCAAATCGCACATCAATAAATTATACATATATTTATACGTCACGTTTCACTACATTTACACTTTTTTCTTGTCACTGTAAAAAACAAATTATATATACATATGTATATTATATATGTATATGTATATATATCTAGATCACAATAAACCGCGTAATCTGCACTTTGTGACCGACAAAAGTGCACCCATTCCAACCTGCACTTGCAGAAAAAATAATGAAAATTTAACGGACGGCATAAGCACACAATTGCAACGTTACGTTTTATTCGCACGAAGTTTATGTTGACAAGCGCACAAACAACAACGGCAACAATCATCAACAATCTGCTAAATAACCAACAACGAAAGCGATTGCGACAATAGCAACTTGTTGCTTTCGATTCGTTTGCGCTTCACTTTCGAACTGATTCGCCAGTACTAGGCTCTATATGTACAAAAGCGAAACGAAACGAAATGAAACGGCCGGCATTAGTTGATCATTATTTCATTTTATTCATTTTTTATTGCTACTTAATACTCATTTTTTTAATAGCAAGTACCGTCCCTACTTGCCCACACTCGCACGTAGCTGTTCTATACATAGTGTGTTCGTATGTATGTGTATTGCTTGCACACTTGTAGCTGGTTTTGCTATACGAAGTTTACTTTTATAGACCTTATTCAATACCGTACCCAACTCACTGGCGCTCTCCGGTACTCTCGTGCACTCTTCACTGCAGCGTGGAGTTTATTTGCTTGTTGATAAGTAGGTATGTATGTATGTTTGTTAGTCTGTGACTGCTATCTACCTGCTGTAATTGAAAAACAGCAAATTAGCGCTTCAATAAGTCAATACACGATACAGTACATGAACTAGTATGTACATATGTGCCATATACTCTTGAAAAACCTTTACCTATTTGCTTGGAAACTCCAGTGAATGATGTTGAGTAATCAAGTGTTTCAATACCCATACAAACACATGCATTTGTATGCACTTCCAGCATTCTATGCATTGCTTTCCACACTTACTTCAGCACTCCCCACTCTCTGCTCCACAACCAATAAAGGTATCCACAAAACAACGTCAACTAAATAAGCCAGCTGATCGGCGTAGTGACGGTTGGTATTTGAAATAACGCTTGACGCTTGCTGCTTCCGAACTGGTTTCTTGAACTTGATTAAAGCAATGGGTGTTACACTTTATTTTGCGTTGTTTGGTTTTTTGGTTTTGTTTATTTTCGATACTTGTTTCTTTATTCTTAATTCTATCTTTTGTTCGTAACATTGCTTACTCATCTGTTGCTCGTTGCTTGATTCTGTGCAATGAGTTTACACCTAAAGTCAATGGGTTAATTTAACTGATCACAGACTAGGTTCTTAGGTTAAGCGTCGATTGGCAATTAAATATTTAAGAAATTGAAAACAATTGTACAAATAACAGACAACTTAAATTTGTAGGCGGACAGTTTACGTTTTTAGAAATTTAAAGAATTAAAAAATAATAAATTGTTTTCATAATTTCATAGGTTATACATAACATACTAAAATTTTAAATCGATAGCTGAAATCGTTTTTAAATTACAGTCTTGTAAATTGTAACCCACCAGTTCAATCAGCTGAATCAGTTTATCTTTAAACGCCTTTTTTCAAATTTGCTTGAGTGATTACTCGGAGATAAATGATGCGATGTTTTTTGATTTGAGCAAAAATCGTATTTTGGCAGGCCAAAAACGACAAAAATTTTGACCGTGGGTCATTGTACGGACGAAGTCTACTAATATAACTTTTTTAGTAATTTTTTGAGGTTTTATCCACGGAGAAGACCGGAAATACTGCAGCAGTGGAAGAGCATTTTTTAGCGCCGTAGAAGATCGCGTGTAACGCGAAATATATTAGATTTTGTTCTTAAAAAAGTTTACCCTGTATTTTTAAAACATGTGTGTATAAATATACACTTAAAATTTTAAAATTTTAATACGGTAATTTTTTTTAATTTACCAAAATCGAGTTTTCAAGCTGTCACTAGGTGTGCCCCTTAAATGGCTTGACTCAACTTCGTTTAGTTTAGCTAAGCAAGCAGCACGTGATAACTAGCATTCTAAAATTAAGGTGGCTTTTATATACTTACTTTCATACTCAAAAATATCTTATAACTCATGTCCTGTACACTTCGGGTGGTCCGATCTGCACAATAAATTCGTACGTCGTAGTGTTGTCTTGGACAATATTCCATGCCAAATTTTTTAAAGATAGTCCACAACCTTGGTTTTGATTTAGCCGAGTCAACAACCTTTGTTTACATTTGGGGTCAATGACGCTTTTATTTACATTATGAGGTATTTTGGACTACTAAAGCATATAGTTCAGTTTGTACGGCCGCTCTATGCCATAGCGGTTCGATATCGACAAATGAGAAACATCTTGAAGAGAAAGGGACGTGTGCAAAATTTCAGATCGATCTCTCAAAAACTGAGCAACTAATTTGCGTATATACAGACAGGCATGTGGACATTCAGGTTATAAAAATATTGAAGCACATATGTACATCTTTATGTAGGAGTGAATTTGCACATATGATTTGAATGGACTTGCAATTAATCCATTCACTGGTTTAGTGTTTTAATATATACTTATAAACTCTTGTTTTTACTCGTATATACTTGTAAACTCGTAGATATGTACCATTTTTATTTATAACATTTTTGTTCATGTGTTTATATTCATGCTCAAAAAATGCATTGAAATTAATACATATGGCATATGTACATATATTAATTTTGAATTTAATTTTCCTTTTTTTCTGGCATGTGAATATTCAATTACAAAAATATGAGTATTATAGAATTAATTTTTGTGTTGTAAAAGCGAAATCATCAATTATTTATGTTTATATATAATGGTTTGGAAAAATTATTTATTATTAACGATTTATTTTTCACAAAAAATTGCTGTCAACAGTTCATTAATGATGATAAATTGCCATGTACCTGAATTTAAAGTCAACTCAAACATTAAATAGATTAAAACTGTATTGAATTTGTTAGTTCTATTTTTTTAAATATAAGAAAGTTTAAATCAGCTGTCATGAAGCATACTTGTGAGAGGTAAAGAGGTATTCGAAGTTTAACATGTCTATGCAGTGCATGTTGTGTAAGATCTGTCATACGCTTTGACCGTTGAATGCTACAATTTTAGCAGCGTCTTGTAGTATTTTAAAAACTTTACGAAAAAATTTTAATATTTTTTTTTTCAAACCAAATAATTTTTTGCATTCGATACAAATGCGATGCGGTAAAAGTGAAAATTTAATAATGTTCTTAAATATTGTATGCTTATCAGCTATAAGTATAGCCTTAGCATTGTGTAACAAATTATTACCTCAAAAAGTTGACTACCTTCAAGGAAGATCAAAACCAAGTAAATATCAAATTTAATTAAAATGAAATATTTTCATAACTGCTTTTCACTATTTCTTCAACGATTTTATTTACTTTCAACGAAGAGCAATTTATTTTCAAACTCTCTACCGTTAAGTGCATTCACACTTCACAACTAAAAGGAGAAAATAAAACAGTACTACCAACTCAGCACAGCAAATAATATAGACAGGTTAAAGAGAATTCCAGCAATGTGCTATTATGAAATCGAGCTGCCGATTGTTGGGTGGTAGGCGCTGTTTGGGCTTGTTGTACACCTGCTTGGCCAACTGCGAAACGTAACAAAGCTCTGCTGCAGACGCAGGCTGTAAAAAATTACAATGCTTTGCTGCAACTGTCGTCTTCCAATGCCTCTACATACACGCTGTCAATGCCATTCAACTGTCTATTAAATGCATGGGTGCGAGCACATATAAGCATGTGGACAGGCACAAGTAGCTCCAAATATGTAAGCTCCATGCAATTGAGTATCGGCAAGTGAATTTAAATGAGGTAGACTTAAGTGATGTACTGTGTAAAATAGGTATGGATGAAAATATCTACAGTTTTTCGCAGAAAGCCTATATGAATAAAATTTGTGATGCGCATACATTCACACCAGTCTTTAATTGTCGGTTTTTCAGTCGTTCATGCTCATATGAAAAGCATATTGTGCGAGCATATTCAATAAAGTGGGTGTGCCGACAACTCGGTGCACTTGTACTTGAAGGCAGCAGCAATGCTTTGTATGTAGCGTGTAACTACTATAGGTGCCGTATAATATACATATATCTGCCTAGCTCCATTGTATGGTTGCGACTTGCTGTGGTTACGTGCAACTAGCTGGTGCACGCACAGCACACGTACAGAAGAAATGTCGGAAGAAAACTATTTTCATAAAGTTAAATACACCGAAAAGTATGTGAGTGGCGTAGAAAGTATGCAGACTTTTTTGTTGTTGCACACTTTGCTCATATTCCGTGCACTCCATAATTTCGCTGATGCTGCATGAAAGCTATAATGAAATATTTCTTTAAAGCTTTTTTGCGCAATTTCTACTGCTTCTCCTTCATAGCGTTCATCAGCGTTCAGGAGTGGTGTAAATGACTTAACGCTGAAATTATGAAAGCACCTGATGAAGATGACGCGGACGCAAATGGTAATGATAATGCTGATAATCACATGAATCGGGTTTTTTTGTACAGATTGCCGTGGATTAAAGCGGACAAAGTAGCTTTTTCTCATGCTGAGGTAGCAGGTTGGCCACAACAATAAAGCAAAAGCGACCACAACTAACGTGAGCTATCAACGCTGACTAGCTTCTATGGCGCATCTACCTTTGCTACTACTAAAGGATACAATTTGAAGCACAAAAGGAAGTAGGCGGTGCACAAGGAAATAGTGTTGGTGCTGGTGGTCGTGGTCGTGCTATGATACCACCGTTTTGCCGACGCTGCTCGCGGAGACATGCATCCGTCCGTCGCGCTGAGAGAATTATCACCGACATTTCCGCTAGTGAAGATGACAAAAATGACAAAGCATCGCTGTGGCGCGTAGCATACAATGCTTCCCGGCTGCGTTCACGTTTGCAATTCATAACGATACAGAGAACATTTCACATGGCATATACATATGCGCACTTATGCACAAGTATAATGTACAAGTATATACCTATGAGTAAATGTTTCTATGCCGAACGGGTTATGACGGAAATGGCGCAGGCAGTCGTAATAGCGACGTTAGTGTGTGTATGGAAAATATTTGACGCTGTCGCCACACTCGCTGCCGCTGAAAGGAAGCAAAGCAGAAAATTAATTCCTGCTGCTCGAAATGTATGAGTAGAAGAAGGTTTAACGAAGCCTAGACAAGCCAAGCAGAGCGCGCGTCACCTTACAGCTCTCCACTCTTCGCTATAGAGTCTTCGATACAGAAGTTGTAATTACGAAGGTAGAGTAAAAACAAAAAAAAAACAATAAGAACTGGTATAAGTGAGTGGAAAAGAAAAGAAAAGAAAAATAGTAACTAGCACAAAAAAGTTAATAATAATTTCCTTTCATTACTTTTGGTGGGCGGGCGTTCGGCAGCAGTTAAGCATTAGACCATAAATAGTAGCTGTGGCGGCAAAGTGGCAACATTTGTTGCTAAAACAATAAGCAAACAGAAACAATAACAACAACAATGAATACGCTAACTCCGTGTAGCCACATAAAAGCAGTGGTAAACAGATGGAAAGTGTGCAATCAAAGGAGATAAAAGAAATGAAAAGAAAAAAAGTTACTTATGGCAAAATTAAATTTGCTGATGAGATGAGTTTAGCGTTCTGCTTTTATGTTTTGTTTGGCATAAGGATGCATAGGCGTGCTGGCGCGTGGCGACCGTGGTATATATTCCCGGAAAACTTAACAAAAATATGTGAACGTTGTTTCATTCGATTGCGGATTGCGAATAGGCTACCAAATAATTAATTAGCGAAATTTAGCGCGCAACGGTGTGATACTATCATTGGAATGGCATTAAAATACTCATGGAAATTTCTCCTGCCGCTCGATTCTTAATGAGACTTTAAGAAGGCTGTTTTGCGTCATCAACCAGCGCCAGTCTTGATTGCTCTTATGCTCGCCCTTTTAAACGCCTCCTCCTTTTTTCAACCTTTGCTTTTGCGTTTATACTTATTTAGTAGTGTACTAAAATAATTATTATATATATACTACTTTTTTATGCACCAAAAATATTTCTCTGTTGCACTGTCGTTCATCCTTTTATTCCTTGCGTTATCCATTCAAGTATTACCGTATGCTATTTTTTATACTCACGCAACATTTTCCTTAGAGCATAATAGATTTGTTCTCCTAACGTTTGTTTGTAACACCTTAAATTAATCGAGAGATATGGTGCTATCAATATCAAAAATATTCGGATGACGAGAAAAATTGATTTCCAAATGTTTGACTCTCCGTTAAACTAAGTTTAATTTTTCCAT